AGTGCTATTTATTAGTGGTTGTTGATAAGTTCCCTTGCTTAGAGCGATGGGAAGCATCAAGTACAGAGATTAATGATCTATTCACTGGTAGTCTTATTTACATTGTATTTGATAAAAATAAGAAAATTTCAATATATTTAGGTTATTTTATTACTTAATTTATACAAGTTTTGATATTGAAATATTCATATATAAAAACTGTTAAAGAGCTGATTTAGCTGTGTCATGTGCACCTTTAGGCTGGCCTGTTTTCTAATGATATGGGAATCATGTGTTTCTACAGCTACCAGATGAAAGTAGTGAAAAATATGCTGGCTAAATGCGGAACAGAAATGGCTGCAATCGAAGCCAGTACCGTCGATGCGTTTCAAGGCCGTGAGAAAGATGTTATTTTGTTATCGTTGGCTTGGACCAAAGGTGACGATACTCGACCTAACCCGGTATCGTCTTACTTACGGTTTATCATTCATTTTGGATGGTTCTAATTCACTTACGGCTTTTAGCTTAGCATTTTGCTATCAGACGAGAGAAGATTGAACGTGGCGCTGACTCGGGCTAGGAAGAAGCTAATAATCATTGGAAACAAGTGTGATTTATCAGATTCCTACGAACCTATAAAACGGTTGAGTCGGTGCTTAGGCGACGAACAGTGTGTTCTGGTCAAGCAGGAAAACGTCGGTTATTGAAAGTCATTTTCAGTGCAAACAGCTCAGGTATGTTATGTGGCCTACCTTTTTCATGGGTACCTGATGTCATCACTACTTTTGGATATTTACTGTATGACAGTAAGAGTAAACATTATCATAAACAACGCTTTTTATATTATGCTTCACTAACTAACTGCAGTTGACAAAGCTTGGTCTTTGCATCCCAAGTTGATATTCTTCAAAGCAGGATTAAAGGATCTGCATTGATCATCAAACAAATCATGGCAAATTTTCGAACTCTTATACAGTCTGTCTTCTGAGTGGAAGATGACTGCGCGTCTCGCGATAACCGGAATATCCTGAATACTTCACGGATGATATTAGAGAACAAATGAACTCAATAACTTTGTGCAGCATGGATGGCGAAGAATTGCCTTACAACGTAATGACTCTGCTTTGCAATGGCTAACTTGTGAGAACGAGGTTGTTCACTCGGCCGAGCGACTGTCCCAGAATCGCCATTCGAGCCTAGATCAGGTGATTCGCTTTCATTCCTTCCTTCTAAGGTTGATAAATGAATATAGACGTTGTGGCATGGAATCAGGAGACTACATTATGTGCTTGCCACATTATGTTGCTTTCGACTTTACCATTAAAATAAGGCACTCCTGCCATAGAACGGAAACAGCTGAATGTTGCACCATTAACTTTATGAAAAGAGGGGTGTCAGAAACGGCCCCATTATGAACGTTTGCAGAATACCGACATTCCAACAGTAACAAACTCAGTTTTTGAGTTGCTGATTCGTGTGAATGAAGTATGACGTATCTCATTTGCAGTTACATAATTCATCAAACTTGGTCGTATTGCGTGTACATTATTTTCTTCTCTGTCGCTATAGAGAAGTACGGTAATGCTGACCTAAACGCTTATGGTTGAGATAAGTCATATTATATTTTCTCCTTTATGAATTTATCTATCGCTTTTCCCCTTTCTTCGAGTGATATTCTTTGGTCGCTTCCAAGACGATGGATCGGAATTTTCCATACAGTCTTATCCTGTCGTAATTATTCTTGAAGTGACGTAGCTGAAATGCTCTGTCATTTAATAGAGAAGTTCAGTAACATCACGTTTCAGATTAATGATTGCATGATATTAACACTTTGTCTAACGTATTCACGCTGAATTTTGTAAATTCTTTGCTTTTTTAATGGTCCCAGTAATTTCCTGTCATAAGTTTTTATTTTCATAAACTGTTAATTTTTTTCCGGATCTTATCCACTCTGTTCTTCACTCAGAATTCTTCGTTTTTTGAAGTATATAATGCAGTGAAAGCTTCCCTGTCATTTGGAATCGAGTTTTACGCTAGCTTTTAATGCTTCTGTTTTTAAATCCAGTGTCATTTCACACAGGATTGGCGTAGAATGCATAAGAAGGAACATGAATGATAATAAATAGGGAGTCTCTATGTTAATATATAGTCATCACGAGTCTTTGTCGATTCACTGCTGGATGAAGACCTCCCCACGACTATGCAGTAGACTTTTGTTTGGTGCCATTTTATTCAAGAAACTTTTGTTCATACTCCGGTCCGGAGTTCTTCCTAAATATCGCTTACGCTAATTTGGAACAAAAACTAATCTTCCTCTGATGTAGCGATAGTCAATTCTTTACTCAATGTGTTTTCTTGTTTCCTATTCACTCATATAGTGACTTTGCCGACTTGTTTGTTCGCCTACTCATTCATTCGTTGTCTTATCTTTCCTTGTTAATCCGACGTTATTCCAACGTACATGCTTCCATGCCGCGTTGCGTAGTTTGCACTTTATGAATAGCAGTCATGATTCGGGCTCAATTTTCCACAGATATCTTAACACTGTGAGCACGCAGTGATCCTTGCATTTTCAGGAACAAAAGTACATTTCTGGTTAGGAAATTTACCATATTTTCAAAAGTGCCCATGCCATTTTATTCCTCTGTTTATTTTACATAGTACATTATTTCACGTTGCAGAGACGCCTTGGATGGTCGTAGGTTTGCATTTGTTCAAGTCAAAATACGATGATTTCACCCAGTCGCGTGGTCATGTGTTTTTTTAATAGAACAGTTGTATTGTTGTAAATCATGGCGATATAAATCATTCTAGATTATTTTATTTGAACAATATCAAGCAGATTAATAAGCTCTTTCGCTATAAAAACTGAGAAAGACAATTATGCATGGATGCGCGAAATTGCGAAGGGTGTTGTTCTCATCCTTATGTTGTGTACAACTGCCGACTGGCAGTTTAATGGCCAAATGACATACTAGGAGAGGGCTAGTTATTCATATAATTTTTAACGTCTGAGATGATGGATATCCATTCCGAACTTTGGATTAAACAATGAACTCGTAATACAGTGTAAATCTGATATAGAATCCGACAAGCAGACAGACGTCTTGAGACAGAAATACGACAGCTACAAAATCTTTTCAGAACAGGAGAATTCTCGGTATTGATTAGATTAAATTGTTGACAGCCTCCGTGAATCTTAGTGAATATGCATTTATGATAGTTTGTATGACCTTGCATCGTAAAGAAAGCTTGGAATGATTACAAACTCGTAACCGGCTATGGAATACCAATACGGCAATTAACCACAATTATGACTTGTGCGGCAAGTTTTGAGAGAGAAACAATTTAATTCAATGCAAACGAAGATTGGTAAGCTACCATATGCAATTCTCATATCTGTTAAGCAGCGCTGTGTCATTCAGAAAGGCTGTAATTCAATTCTATTCAAGCGCCGCAGGCACTGTTATGCGCAACCCTATGGAATATCAAATTAAGCGTGAAACGTAACTGGCCATGGAATATCAGTTAGGCCCTGACGTGTTCTGATTCCGCGAATCGTCTCAAGTACCATAGGACAGTGTTCACAGTGGAAGCTGAATGGAACGACCGCAAGACAGGCCATTATCACCGAAGGCAATAAGTGGTGGCCTCTGGGGACAAATATTTCTACATATCTGCTTCTCTAGTCGTTGTATCACAATACATGTAATTATTTAATAAGCGTGTGGCAGAAAGGACGTCCACGGGAAGGCTTAATAGTCACTACATAATAGTGGTGTGGAATAAAACGTTAACCGTGAACATTCACCACTCATTTTTGCTTACGCAAGCCGATGAAACAAAAGATTCAACTAATGTTATGGTGGTTCAAACATGGATCAACTAACAGCTAATTCGGCAGATAAGATATTCGGAAAAAGAAATCATTTAAGATTGGTAGGTGTCAGGTGGCACCAGAAGCAATTCAGACAAGCAGTGAATATTGACTTTTTCTTGCCTGAAGCTCGTAGATTTCTAGAAGACTTTTGACTCCGTCTACATCAGTTCTACTTTGGATTCCTTGAATAGCCAAGAAATCAAGAAAATCAAGCCAAGGATATGAGCACCTCATCACCATTATTTACAAGAATGCAACAGCTAATGTGAAGTTTCACTATGGTACAAGTAAATTGAAAATCAAAAACAGTGAATGACAGGGAGATATAATACTGTTATACATAGCAATTCTAGAAGAGATTTTAATGATATTCTGAGAATGACTGCGATTCTCTAAAGTCGTCAGAAAAACTGGAACGATGAATCCAAGAGATGGAGGATTCCAGAATCAAAATAGGACTGAAGGTGGACATGAATAAGGGTGTTTAACAAACACGTGAACACTTGACGCCGCACATTGGAGTCAACTTTGCGTAAAGAAGTGCTTATATACGTCTCTCTGGGACATCTCATCTCTGCAATGGAGAATAGACTGTTTTTCATGGACATTTTTGAACATCTGAAAATGTTTCCATTCGAGAAAAGACCGCTAAACTGAAACTTTAGGATATGCTCGCACTGTTAAGCTATCAATGTCAAAAGTGGCCTGAAAGCAATTCATTAAGTGGAAATTACACAACGCAGGATGGAAATATGTGTGCTGGGAATAACAGATGAAGATGGGAAAAGATGGGAAGACAAATGAAAGAGCTGAAGCACAAACGAAAGTGCATGAAATCATTTCACGTCTGAATTAGTTGACGAGTAGAAACTGTGCAAGTACAATCAATCTGAAACACATTAGTCTTCAGTTCAAATTAGAGTGAGTGGCAGTAGGTCGACCTCCAGGTCGATTTGGGGCAAATGAAAGTTATTCAGATCAAGGTAGATAGGAATAACAGAGAATAAAAGTTCATGGCAGCGTTTTGAAGAGGCCTTCATTCAGTAGTAGATTACAAAATGCACACGATTAAGAAGGTTCGGAATGACACAGTGAAGCTGTGAGTAGAGATTAAACTCAAAAAATTTATCGTTGTTGTTATCCAGTTAAAATCTGGTGTTTGTCTGTTACTGACTTTAAATCGACACATTACGTATACGCAAGGAGGCTTGCTGCCTGTGATATCGGTTGTGACCTGGCGACGTGCTAAACGAAGTGCGTTGTAATATTGTGCTAGCATCTGCGTTGCTTGGTGCCTATAATCATGATTCGATTTATTGCCTAGAAGATCATCAGTAAGCCTAGAATGAAAAATGCATATATTGCATTCCCTATGTTCGATTCGTTGATTGTTCTTTTCTCGCCGCTGTCGCTTTCACGTTTAATAGCTATTTGTCAACAGCTATTTATTCACTATTTTTAAGGTACAAACTTTTACCGTTTAAACGTTTCACTGTACTTCATTCAGTTTTTATTTTGTTAATGCGAATTGTATCCATAAAACATGTACGTCCAATAGCATTGTCATGCGTCTCTGCTTGCATGACCACACTAGAAAGCCAGGCTGTCCATATAATTCGCCGTTGAACGTCTTCCTATCCGCTACAAAACTCTTCGCACTAAAACAAAGAGAGACGAGTTTCTTGCTCGACTGAATGAGCGGTTTATAATAGAAAATTTGTGCTGCGCTAGGGGGTTTAATTCCGGAATTATTCTGGTGCAAAGGAAACTAATCCGTTGAGCTATTGTTCCCATTTATTGTCGTAGCTGTATATTATATATTATTATGCGTTACGTCCATATACTTTGTCTTCTGAATAATCGAAATCATCATGAATAGTATGGAAGCAGCAGGAAAGCAAACATTATTTCGGAGTCCACTCAACATGTCAGATGATTTGCAGGTATTAGCGCTGCCTTACGGTAGTGCACGAGCTTGGTTCTGCAAGGAACCTGCTTCCTGGGAGAATCTTGCTGTTGTTTATATACATATTTTTTTCCAGAGCCGATATTCATATTTTTTGCAATGTTTTTTAAGGTCTTCGTTAAATTTATGATGGATATGTGCGAGGTTTTCCAAACTAATTACTACCAATAGCAAAATGGGTTCAAAATCTGTTGCATCCTGCGGTAGAGTTTGAGTATTCAGCTGTAGATCGACTGATGTGCAGGTTCTTTTTAACTTTGATTTCGATGTTTTTCCTGACTGGTTGATCTACTGAAAGTTTCTATGAGTGTGTACTAACTGAACATAACTGAAATAGAACTGATTATTGAAAGCCAGTAATCAGAGTTGAGTCTTTTGAGCTGGCTTGTTCACTTTGTTACGCAGTCGTTCAAAACTGCGCTTTAAAAGAATTTCATGCGATAAGTCAATTCTACCGATGTCTTGTTCATTTGCTAATTTGTTCATTTACTTCTTCGATATACATCGCACGCGAGCGGGCTGTTGCTGGATCGGAGTTGGACATTAGATTGCGTTCCAAGCGAGAGTGA